CATTATGACTTAAATATTCACCGCCTTGCGAAGCTAAGAATACAGTGTACACCGGCGTTTTAGCCCGCCTCTCAATACTAGCTTCGAATTCACACGAGTCATTGTCCTCTGGCATCGGAGCAGCCGGTTTTTCTTCTTCGCGTTTATCATAGTATGAGATCAGACGAATATATATCCTCTTCATCGACAACGTGCTCTTCTGCTCCTTGCACTCCGAAGACAGCTTCTTCTGCGTTCTTGTCGACGATGCAATCTACATTAGAGAGCCACCTAAAGTTTAACGAGCTGTAGTTGTCCTGGTAGCTATCTTTGTACACAATCTCTTCGTTTATCGACACATGCAGTACGTGGTGAAAGGTGTGCTCGGCGGAAGAAATATCTGGTATCCAGCTTGACCCTCCAGTACCCCACAAAATTCTCAACTCGGAAGCTCGCGTCAAGCTTTCAGCGTGCAGGCCCAGTCAGGTTGTGCGCGTACGCAATTGATTCAAATCGCCAAATGCGGTGCATGTTCGTTTTCGCGCGAATCATCAAATGGTAAGGCGTGTCCTTCGTCACAGTATGGTAGGACCGGCTCCGCAGAAAGGTTCTTTGTAAGGCATGCATCCAAAACGTTTTTGGCAAGCCAGCCATGTGTATCATGGTTTTCAACATACGCACTAGCGTTTGGTGGGCCCGTTCACACCGTTTCAGGTGCGAGCTACACGGGGGATTAGGCAGCAGCGCGATTCCTCGCCCCTGGTATCATGTCTGCATCTCTGCGCTCACAAATACACCAAAATTATCCGTGATAGCCTTGAGCACAGGGTAGCCGCTGAGCTGACGGCCTGCCCACGTTTTGTACCTTTGCATCTCTGCGCTCAATTCTGCTGTCGTGTTCGACTTCAAAGGGTACACCGTAGTGAAACGCGTGTAGCCATCAACTACTACCAGCACAGCCTTTTCAGCGTTCGCTCCACATCTGCGATGTGAGAATAGCAGATCGGCAAAACCAACCTCGATCTTTTTTGTTATTCCACGTTATAATTGACGCATCGGGGATGACGCACGATTCTTATCTATATGGCAAGCCTCACAGTCATTGAAGCCACGCTGCTGAAGAATTATGCCTGCCACTAGGCCTCGGTCGGTCATTAATTTGACACACTGGGACAGAGGTGGCCAAGTCGCTCATGCCAACGCTGCAAATCTGCGGCGCCATCTGGCTGAGATATTAGCTTGCGGAGAAGCAGGTTGGTCTTGGCGACTTGGTAATGCAGCACTGTAATCACTTCTGGCAGGACATCGTTTGCTGCCAAGACCGTATAGAGACCGAACTTGTATCTCGCAGCATCGAGAACTTTATTTTCGCCTCTCCAGAGCTTATAAACTCTGTTTCCGCTACGACCGTTATATTCCACGTCGTATCCCTCGTCTTCCAGCTGTGAGTGCGACAGCAGGTTCGTTCGATCTCGGACGTAGGATTCATTCTCAATGTAAAGACTGCATTCACGCGACCCTTCCTGAACACTACTCTCACAGCTCCATGATGAAAAGGCGCAGTGGCAAATTTCTTGTGAAAGCCACGGACGCACTCTACCTCCTTGTGATCCGTCGCAGAATATTGAGTATAGAACCTGAGGTCCCATGTCACATGCACGTTAGCGGCGTTATCAGTACACCACCTTAAGACACTTTAATCTTCAGCGCCCCGGTTGCGGTCAGCGGTCACTGACAGGTCCTCGGTTGATTTTTTGTCAGGCTGACAGTAACATCCTTGACGCACACGCTCTCCGGTGCACTGAACGACCTCTGCCCTGGGTCAGCATCCGTTTCACGGAGCTCATTCGCTCTTGAGTGCCCTAACCGTCTCGTGTACGCTGCTTGTCGCTTTGACTGGGCATTCTGCGGCGTGCTCGCCCGCTTGGGACATTCATTCTGCTAATGGCCCTTTCTATGACAATTGAAGCAGTTTTCTTGTTCCTGATCAGTTTTCTTGGCAGAAACAGCAGCTGCTTTCTCTGACGTCATCTGTTTATTTCCGGCATTTTGGCCAATAGCATGTTGCTGCTTAGACTTCTGTTCTTGGCTTTGATTTTGAGGCTGCTGCTGCGGGGTTCCGCTGACCAGACCAAGCTCACGGTCGCACTTTTTGTAGCCGTCCGCTCGAATGACTGGATTCTTTAGCTTCTCGGACGTGTCTCATTCCGTGGCTCTCATCTTCACCATGTCGCACAAACGATCGGATCGTGCGTTGCCGGGCAGTGATCGCATCAGCAAGCTGACGACGATCGAGCCGCAAACATCGGCTAGCAGAGCTGCCAGCTGCGCTTTAAGCATGAACATATTGTTCACATGCTGTGCCACGTCCCAGCTGGGCTTGCACGTTGCAGCTTGCTATCGGTTGAACATGATGATCTCCTGGCTCGTACGAGTGGCGTCATTCTGCTTGCTCTCGTATAGATCCGCCAGGTACTTCCACATGTCCGTACCGGTCTTTCTTCACCATCACACACTGACCGAGCTCCATAGCGAGATAGAGAGGCCATGATCGGATACTTCCTTTTGGCCTGCGACTCGTTAAACAGCTTCGATGCATCGGCATCTGCGTTAGCGGAAAGGGATATTTTGCCAGCTGCGTAACCCAGCACCCCTTCCCTCAAATGCGATCTACATCATACTCTTATAGTACACACCAGTACACGGGGCGGCCGTTTATGTTCAGCTCGGCTTAATTCCGCATCTTGAAACCTTAGACACCGCCTGCTCTCGCGTGCTTTGGGCCCATAACCCTATTCTCATTCAGGTCCGCGGCAAAGCTCGAGTGGAAAACACAGGTAAGTCACGTTCACACAAAAACATACTCCCTATGACTTCTTAGTGCAGCTTGCTCTTGAATTGAGTGGACTGTTCTTCTGACGACATGTTCGAGACTAAACCACTATGAAAAAACATGCCTAGAGACAAGAGTCACCATCTCTCAGTAACACCGAGTTACTCTTCATTCCTGAGCCTTGTCTCTCGTGGGAGACCGCAACGTTCGTCTCTCTCACTTGAGCCCCAGCAATGACAAGCACCACCAGAGTCAATTCTTATTGCTAAGAATTGGTCTCATCGCCTGAAGAGCACGAGACGCCCGTTGAGCCTAAGCTTTGTATCATGTTCCTTATAATAAAAAAGCAATTGCTATGCTACACTGTACGAGAGGGCGCAAACAACAATGTACTTTCTCCGTATCGCTGAAATATCGACATTTTGGATTGACTAACCATCGGGGCGCCTCTAAGCAGCCAATCAGAATCAAATTTTACGGCAAAATCGAAACCACGACGCTCTATTGGACAATATAACTTAGGTTGCGCAACTCGCAAAACTCGCGGCACAATGAGGGTTTGCAACCACCCAAATCATGAGGGGCCCGCAAAATCACTCGCCACACCTCCAAGTTGGCCCAGACAGACAACCAATCATGGAAGCACACAGCGTCAGTGAATCAGCTCGCCGTTCCATCTTACATGACCTACTAAAGCGCAGTATTGACAGAGAACGGCTTTAGTAAGCACATCAATCCACAGCTGCTTTGTTTAGTGTACACAGACAGACAGTTGGAAGTATTTGAAAACTCTACAAGGAGTTTGTGGCTTCTGGGAATATCGCTGGTGATATCAAGTGCAAGTACATATGCGACCTTAAGCAAGAAAGGCTACATGTACGACAAGAAAAAAATAATGCAAAAGCTCTAAGCTATACCAGCTCACCAACGATCAACCATTCGTGCTACATCCCTCAGTGTAAATGTCTCAGCTGGCGTCATTCGACGTTTGCTTTCAAGTGATGAGGTTGCAGCTAAGGCAACGATCAAACCCGTGTTAACGGAGGCTAACAGACATCGACGTGTCCAATACTCACTCTCATTTCTTGAAGCTGCACCTCGCCAACATGGCAACAGTTTTGGAAATGGGCTTAACCCCATGCTCAACATCGTCCACGTAGACGAGACATAGTTTACTCACGACAAGAAGACACACAAATACTACCTGGCCAAAGGATATAAGGCGCCCGAGCAGCACCGGCGTAGCGCACGCAATATCGAGAAGACCATATTCTTGGCAGTCGTAGCAAGACTGAGGTAAGCCCTAAACATTTGATATCCTCTCAAAATTATATTCTTACTAAACACATGTTAATGATTGTATGGGATGATCACCGGAAAGCTGAGTTCGATGGCAAGATCGGCTTATGGCCGCTTACAGAGGACTATGTGACTCAACGTCGCAGTAAGAGCAGACCGACGGGTACCAGCTGAAGCGTAATATCAAGGCTGTGAATGCGAAAGCTTACAAGCACTTTCTTCTCGTCTTTGTTATCGCGGCGATACGGGCACATTGACCGCGTCGAGACAGAGGGAAAACTTCCTACGTGCAACAAGACAATGACACCCCGCATATTCATCTAAGTGACCCAAACGTGCTGCGGGGAGGTAACCGTGATGGCTGAACCATCTGTCTAATCTTTCAGCCCCCGAACTCGGCCGACCTAAACTGCCTCGACTTTGGCCTTTTCTTAGTTATCCTGACACTACAGTACACAATTTACGTTGCAGCCACGGAGCACCACATCGAAGTCGTCCAAGCATCGCTTAAAAAATTTAGATACGTGTAAGCTAGATCCTATTTTTCTAACCGTACAAAATAAATGAGGTGCATGTTAGCGTGTAACGGCGGCAGCGTACATAAGCTTCCTCACCTTTTGAAGTCACACTGCGGCGTCATAGGAAAATCTTCCTCGGTATATCGTATGCGACGTGGCCGAAGTGAAGGAGTCTAAGGGCTATCTCCTCTTGCGCAACGTATACCCCTCTAAAACGATAATTCACGAAATATGTGTGGGTCACATTACAATTACCATCACTCCAGCAATTTCTTAAGAACCAGTACTGTACCGGTAATAGTGATATTTTAATTGAATTGTTCTGGAGAATTGCTCAAATTTTTGTAGTCCCAGGGCCGAGAGAGACCGCTATGGCTTCCACGGCTCCTCGCCGTCGCCGACCGAACCGCAAGTCCAAGGTCAAAACCGACAGTAGCATCGCTCTTCCACCTTCGCCGCCGATCACATTTCAGCTCGTCACCGCCATCCGCCGTAACGACCTCGACGCCTTCTCGTCTCTGCTCCAGACTCCGCAGCTTGACGTGAACCGCCGTACACCGCAGGGTGACACCCCGTTGGTTGAGATCTGTCGCTATGCGCGTTTAGAAATGGCTACACGTCTGCTTTCCGTCCACGGAGCCAACGTCAACGTCGCCAGTAGCAACCGCAGCGCCAACCGTGTGGGCCTGACACCACTCATTGCTGCATGTATGGCCCTCCAGCCAAAACTGGTGGCGCTGCTGCTGTCCCAGTCCCAAAAGAAGGTGAACTTACTCAAATCTTTCGGAAGAGTGAATGCGGCTACAGTTTTATTGCTCTTTTGCGTCGCTAATGGCCGCACAGACGAGCAGAATGACACGGCGCTGTTGCTTCTGGAGCAATTATTAACGTACGCCAAGCAGCAGAACCAGTTGGAGGAAATATTGACCGCCAAACCCGATAAAGTAAATTCTCTGCTACATGTAGCGGCAGGACTGGGCAATTGGAAGGCGCTGAGGATGTTGAGACAACGTGCTGAAGACTTTGATGTGGAATTTAACGCTCGAAACGCCGTGGAACACTCCGCGCTGCATATCGTGGAGATGAACGCGTTCCAGGCCAGATCAATGCAGTTCTGCGAGCCTCCACGTCCAGATGTGGAGGCTGGAGGGAAGAAGAATAGGGGACGGAACCGAAGGAGACAGAAGCAGAAGAAACAAGAGGACAAAGAAGAAGAAGAGAAGGATGAAGTGAAAGAGGAACAAGAACAAGAACAAGAGCTGGAATCGAGTGAAGCAGGTGCGTTGCGGCTACGCTAAAGCTGATGTGATGTTAAAGAACGGAGGTTACATAACTGATTTTGTTAGATAAGCAAACGTTCACTCGATCCCGGCCAGATCGCGCTGTGGAAGCACTCGAAGTGACGCGGACTGTGATGGAGCTGGCCAAGAATACAGGTAGTGTTAGGATACTACAAATATTGACGTGACTGACTTGTTATTATTGTAATTTAAAGGAATTGGCGCTATCTTTTCGCGTAAGGGGGATGAAGGTCTTCGAGGACTTTACATAAAAAGTCTCGTGCTAGCAGAAGTGGGTCTCGTCTCTATTGTTAATGAGGTATGGTCTGTTTCACGTTGCTTAGTACTATTGTACTTGGGTGACTGATTCTTTAACTATTTCACAGATCGCTCAGATGCCAGTCACGCAAAAGGAGAAAGCTGTGTATCTGGATGGGTTCATGTACACTGTGGCGTCTGTGTACCCCCTCTCTGTCAAAAACGCAAAGGAGTACCAGTCACTTTGGCGTCAAGCACTCGACAAGAAGTCCACACAGAACACTGAAGCAACGGATGATGAGCGTGTATCTGTGACTGACGCAGCAACGATGGAACTATCTCGTGCCGGATTCAACTTGATCCTGGACGGCATGTTCTCGTACAACAGTATTTCCAAGCGCGTGAAGGTGTGGACTCTGATCCTCATGCATCTACTCACTCCATTCGCCACTGGATCTCCTCTGGCTGCCGACAAGCGACCTGTTATGGACGAATGCAGTCAGCTCAAGTTCTTCGAGCGCATCATTGAGAAGATTTGCCGTTCAGGTTGGGTTATCAGAGTGTTCCTGTGAGATTGGATAGTTTTGCTTAATGTAATGCTGGTCCGCTATAGGCACGAAGCTCGCTTTCTGCATTTTTGACCGCACAGACATCGAAGACGACGATAGTTATGACGATGAGATCGAGTTTCACTGGCTGATCTCATTGTTCGAGCTCTTTCTCCAGTTCTTCGCGCCGTATGCTCGCACAATCCGTGACGAGGAAAGTAAGGAACCCCTGGGAATCATTAAGAGTTTCCAGCGTGCGATCAAGCCCGTGAAACAGCTATGGCCGCTGGTGAACGCTGCGTTGGGAATTATGGATGACACCATTTCGACGCCGCAACGCTTCTCACTACTGCTTCACTTGCTGCAAGTGCTCGAGCAACTAGAAGCTGCGTTTACGTCCAACGAAGACATGGCGCTAGTGAAGCTGTTTGGGGTACGTTGGTGATGCCAGCATAGCCTTCCTGAACTAAGTACTAATCATGTTTGCCAGGTTATGAACCGCTTTGTCAAGCAAGAGGCGAAGAAGAAGCGCTTCAAGATGTTCGTATCGGAGCAATCTCATCTCTTGCACACGATCGCAGCGACGTTTCCAATCCCGACGTCCTTCACGGACAAAGTGATCCCGTTGAAGAATAGCGTAGATGTTCTGATTCGCTCCGACCCCAAGGTGTTAGGCATGGACTTGTATTCGTTCGCAGCCATCCCAGGACTTATTCGTCTCGAGCACAAAGTGGACTACCTGTCAATGCTGGCAGAAGAGCGCAACGGATCCGTCTCCGTGTCCATCAGTCGAGCGTCTGACGCTAATTACGTGGACTTTATCCTGCAGCAAATTCTGAGCACTTCGACGAAAAATTTGAAGGCGGAAATGAACATCACGTTGGTGAACGAACCGGGCGTCGGTGCTGGCGTCACGCGGGAGTTTTTCCAGATCGTTCAGCGATGTTTCTTCCAACCAGGATCAACGGGAAGCTCCCAGTCTCGTACTGTTCTACCAGCGCCGCACGTTCAGGAGATTGGAGCGCAATGGCTTCAGCTTGCTCGGTCTCAGAACTCTCAAGACGGGAACTCGAGCAAGAAACGCAACGCTAAACAGAGCCAACCGACTCAAAGCGGTGGCTTTGCAGACTTGTTCCCGCTGTTTGACTACGTGGACAAACAGAAGCGTGGAGTTGTGGGCATCGCGCCGCGACCAGTATACATCAGCAAGCAAGTGATGGACGCGAAGCGTAAAGCCAAGAGCTTGAGTTTATCTCGCAAAGACATGCTCGTGGATCCCAGTGAAGTGGACGCACTGAAGAGAGTGTATCTCTGCATTGGTCGCTTGATGGGGTTGGCAATTCGCAATCATCAGCCACTTGCTGTCGATTTTCCGTTGGCTTTCTGGAAATTGATGATGCGAGACGGCTCAGTGACGTGGGAGAATTACTGTGAGAGTAGCGCCGTGTTCAAACGCAGTCTTCAATTTGTGTTGGATCACGATTTCGACGCACAGTCTCTGGATATGCGCTTTGAGTACACGACACAAGTGGTGATAGTGGACGAAGACGCGAGTACGAAGCAGAAGGACGAGTCTGACGTTGTAGCTGCGTCTACGACGAGTATGGAGATGGAGCTGCAAGATGGAATGGGTAACGTTGAAGTGACGAACGCCAACAAGGCGCAGTACGTGTTGCTGCGTGCTCAGCAGTTCTTCTTCGGCCACGAATTAATGTACTACAAGAAGATCCGAGATGGCTTCAACGACACAATCGTGCGTTCGGATCTGAAACTTTTCCGTCCTGAAGAGCTCCAACGTCTTGTGAGAGGAGAACAAACGATCGATCTCCAGAGTCTGAAGAGGATTGTGGTGTACTCGCGAGGTGCGTTGCCGTCTCGGGGAGTTGTTCAGCGCTTCTGGGAAGTCGCTGAGGGTTTCGATCAAGAATATCGCTCCAAGCTGCTGACTTTCTGGTCGGGCTCGCCATTACCGCCCATTTTCGGCTTCGACTCGACGTATCGCTCCATGAACGCGGTAAGTTTTCGCTGCTACATGTACACGCTGTCGATTATGGGTCTTATAGTGCTGTGATGGTCACTGTAGGACATTGCGTGCTGGTACATTGATGTGGACACACGAATGCAGCCGAGCTTCTGTCCCATGGCCAACACTTGGTAAGATATCGTGGGTATCGTAAGTTATTTATTTCAGATATCTTACATTCATTTGTTGCAGTGACCGTCGCTTGATTCTCCCGGACTACCCATCGAGTGCTATGCTACGAGAGAAGCTGTTGGTGGCGCTGGACCATGGCAGTGTCGGCTACGACCGCATGTAGAGAAGTAGACGACGATCATAGATGAAAGGGTTAAGGATGTTTGCTCACTTGTTACAGCGATGCAGTGTGGTCTGGACTTGGCACTCGTCCTGGTTCACGGAAGCCAGAAGCTGTGGACGCGTCTCTTGTAGGTACTGGAGCGTATCCCCTCTGTCCTCTCTGCTCTTGTCCCTCCACGTTACCAAACAGAGATCGAAAGAAATCGTAGAGGATGCTGAACGGACAGCACACGATCTGCTTGACTCGATGTAGCCACTCCTGACTGAGCCAATTCAAGTAATTACCCGTCGCTGCTGTCTGTAGTGTTCCCTTCTGAGTACCGAAGAGCTGTACAACGGAGCCTGGCCACACGTCTCCTTTCTTAAGTAGTTTCCCGTTGTGGATAAGTCTCGCATGCTCTCTTAACATTATACGCTTGTTTTAGTGCATAAATTCTCATAACAAACTGTAAAAAAAAAAACCACGTACAAATTAAATAGTGAGGCTAACACTTTAGCTGGGTCGTCCACAGCCCAGATGGACACGTTGAGGGTGTAGACGGCGTTGCAGAAGCGCACAAAGGCCGGCTTAGGGCCATCTTCGCCCTGTGATAGCAACTGTGTCACTCGTTTCACTTGGGCATGACAGCCAGGGCAGTAATTCTTGTTGACAGCCAAGTAGAGACATAAGCAGGAGAGGCAGAACTCGTGTGAGCAATCCGTGAGGCAGCGAGCCGTGGGGTCGTCGGGAAGAGGTTGATCGCACACCAAGCACGGGAGCTCGTCCATCAAGGTTGAATTGTTTTTTAGGTATTCGAAAAGTTGGGTGATAAACAAAGTAATAAACATTAAATTTGGAATAAAATCCTGCCCACCAACCCATTCAAAAAGTATTAACCACCCTGTTTTCAGAGCGTGGGTTTTTATCAGCACGAGATTTTTATCTTGAAGGGACGCATTTCTAACACGATGCCAGCGCCAGCGGAAAAGTCGAGAGTATTGCAGCTCAACCCGAAGGCGAGACCCACGACGACCAAGATGAAGCAAGTGATTGGACAAGTGCTGGCGGAGAAACTGGATAATGCGAGTTACCAGTCAGAGCGAGCGGCGATGCTGACTAAGGAGATCGCAGATGCGGTCAAGATGCGGCTAAAAGAATGCGACTTTCCTCGGTTTAAGTACGTTGTGCAAGTGGTCATTGGGGAACAGCGAGGCGAGGGCGTCAGGTGCGAGCTGCGAAATATTTTTCAGCTCAAAAGGTTAGATCCACTGATAAGTTTTTGTGTTTGATGCTCTAGAATGGGGTGTCGGTGTTTTTGGGACGCCGAGACAGACTGCTACGCCTCTGAAACCTTTTCAAATGTAAGATATGAAACTTGGGAATGATCAACACTTTGACTAATGTGCTATGGATTGTGAGCCAATAGGATAGCTTGTTTTGCGTCACTACTGCATACAGCGTCTACCTCTACTAACTGTAGCGCAAAATGTTAAGCATTTTTACAAAGGTGTAGTGGCAAATTGCTTAGCGATAATTGGCAAGAATGTGGATGCAGCAGTGAAGCAGTGGCGCAGTTCCAGCGTCACGTTTCTAATAAGTATTTCTTACAACTCATGGGTGGCGACGAGCTCAGCTCCTACCTTCTAAATGAGACCACGCAAAAGAAAATGATACTTACGAACATAAGTACGAATCGCGATTTAAGCACTCTAAACGAAAGCGGGGCGTCTCCTCTATCTCTTAAGCACTTATAAGCTACAGAATGCTTAAAACTGAAGAAGTTGTGGTCGCTCAAAAATATTATCTCCATTTATGGGCCCTCGAAATGACGATAGATTTAATGTAGGAGTGCTACTATTTTTTCTATTTTAAAAAATAAAGTGGTATTTAAAGGCGGGTAAACCAGCCCCAATTCTCTAGTTCGGATGAAAATGCTATTAAAATAGACGGCTACTTTTTCTTAGTACATGTATTATTGTGCTTTGCGCTCGATTTAGTAATTTATTGGCTTCCCTACCATGCAGCTTTGTTTACAGATTACTTCATATATTTACAATACTTTAAAAAAAGTGAAAACGACTGAAAAGCACAGCATATCCGGCTCTTTTTATGATGAGCAACACTTTTTCGATTATAGTAATACGTCCAAACAATAGGACGACGAGCTCAACGTACCTGTTTCAATTTATAAAACTATTTCTTGTCGTTTGTCCTGGGCGCCGTATATGCAAAGATAATGCAAACAGAAAAGTGCTGTGGCTTACCTTCTGCGCTGTACAAGTAGCATCAAGAGCGTACACCTACGAGTAAAAATAGTCACTAAAATAGGATAGGTCGAGCAGAATTGGTCTCGACACTCCTTATCGTGTATTCGTCGCATCCCTCTGTCGCCCACCAGTCGTGGTATGGATCAAAGAGCTCATCGCCTGGTGACGCCGTTGCATTTTAAGAAGATCTACACGAATTTCATTATAAGCTAATAATAATTCCAAAAGACTTCGGCATTATTTTCATTAAATACCGTTGAAGCTTGGAAAAATAAAAAAAATATGTAGTTTGTTGATACACTCAGAGGATTCGTCAGCACTTATTTCTCGAGTTTCGCCGTTAGCCAGGTACTATAGCGTTTAAAATATGGAGCAACAACACTGGCGTCCCTTATTAGACCGTTTCGTGAAGGCTGAAAAAATGACTTGCTGCCAGGTCGCCATCGTGTCCACCCACTCCGTGACGTTTCCTCCGTTGTATTCTTAATAAAGTTTAAAACACACGCTTTCAGCAAAACGCACTTGTCTTCAAACCCCGCGTCCGGCATTCCATGCAATGTGACAGGTTTCGGTCGCTACAAATTATGTGAGTCACGCGCAACGTTGAAGATCCATGCTCTCACAAATTCATTGCCTAACATCTACGTCGCCCAGCGTTTGCTTTTCACGAAGGCATGTGGGGCCCACAGTGTGGGCCATAGCAGCATCGCATGCCGTGGTAGAGCGTGTGTGTGACCTTTCGTCTTTCGATAGTGTCAGGCGCATGCTGGCTACTGAAGGAAACGACCGCACTGACTGTTGTCGACGCCGTCGAGTCGACGGTCGACGGCGCTAAAGCTTAATAGCGCCGCTTTAAGGCAATCTGACTCAAAAAGTGGTGGGCAAGAGAGCTCGTTGCCGCCTGAGTTAGGCTATCGCGTTGATGTCCGCAGTCAGCCGCGATCAGGGCACGGAGGGAAGCACGCCAACGCATCAGCTGCAGCCGAGGAGGCGTGAAAGATGAGCGTCGAGTACATCGATACCGTGTCGGGCCGGCACTGCCACAGCCTGCGCTGCAACCGCGAATCGCTACCATCACTAGTAAAATAGCGCCCCAGGCACATCTTCTGGCGGCCTGGTGCGCTATCTTGACGCAAGGTCCTTGAGTCGAGGTCGTTGCCGGCCTTGTAATTCACAAGTTGTGAATGACATATGCACCTTCGCCGTGAGTTTTGTATTTTCCTGATTTTGGGAATATTTTATGCAGCCGCGATTGATCCCACTTTCAAAACGCTTAGTGAAATCAAGTCAAAATCGCGTCCTTTTTGACGGAAGCCGCGTTGAACAGACACAGTAGCACTCACTCGTAAAAAACATCACGACATCTCCTAAAATCAGGTTTAAAACCATGGAATTATGTTGCCTCCTTTAATTTGCAAGCTCGCCCCAAAGATCGCCAACAATAATCCTTCTTGAAGCGTTAATAAAAATTAGTCTCCCATTAGTCATTTGAAATGCTCGATCAAAGGCTTCCAGACGCCTCTCGAGAACCCTTCCTTGCTTGCACGCACAAGCGAAAACGCTGCGCCGAAGCCGCGACGAAAGCAAGCGAACGCCGCCAGAAACCGGGTGAATAAGATCCGCCCTAGTTCGGTCCGCCCGCTGTCGTTGATCCGTTGACCGACACCTCGATCTGCTACGGTGTCCGCAGCCTCATTGACGATCGCATCGCTCTCTCCATGCTCATGACCGAAACGTACAATCCGGCGTGCGCCACTGCAGCCGCCAACGCCGCCATGGACCCGGACGCGGAGGCTTTCAGCGAGCGTCTACGTTTAAAGATCCAGCCCAGTCCACCCAAATTCCCGTACCGGGACGACCCGTTCGAGCTCACCGTGTATCTCGTCGACCCGGCGGACCACCTCAAGTCTGGTGTAACCGTCCCGCTCAACGTGGAACTCTACGCGGCTGAGAAGATGATGCCTGTGGAGAAAGACATTTTGCACATTGACCCAAGCACTAAACCAGTCATGAACGGTGACGGTATCTGCAAACTACGCATGAGTATCAGCGAGTGTTCCATGGCGCTGGGCAACCGCAAGTTCGTCATCCACATCTCCGCTGCGACTACTAAGGAGAACATCAATCTGAACGTCACACCCGCCGTCACCTCCGAGATGACGGTGATCCAGCATCGCCTGCTTATCCAGGAGAAGCTGCCGGAACTCTGGTACAAGGACGAAGGTGGTCGCGACAAGTGCATGACGCTGCCCATCTTCCTCGTTAACTCGAAGAACGAACGCGTGGGTAACCGCCCCGTGCCTCTGCGTGTGACTCTTCTCTACGAAAACGAACACCCAGTATTAAAGCAGGATATCCTCAAGATGTCGCCGGACTGCCAGCGCACCATCGACTCGACCGGTAAAGCCGTACTTAAGCTCCGTATCGAAGACGTGTCCAAGAACCACCAGGGCCAAGCATTCCGTCTCAAGGTAGAAGCCGACACGGCGCAGTCTCCACTCAACTTCGACGTGGCGTACGACCTGAGCTCGTCCATCTCGGTGCGCTCAAAGCGCAACAAACGTCGACCGGGGAAGAGCACACCGGCTCAGATCACACACCACATTATCGCTGGAGCGTCCACGCCAATGTCCACGACGTCGTCTCCTGCTTCCAACGCGGAGCATGAGATGATGTTGGCTGGAGCGTTCGGCACCGCCGCGTTCACAGCAGATGATCGGCGTAAGAGGATGCGCACGGGAGGCAGTGCCTCGCCTGGTACTCCACGTGTAGGAGGCAGTCCTCAGTCTGCTAATTCACTGACTGGAGCCATGGAAAGCATCCTTACTTGGACCGGTGGCGTCGTCAATGGACTGCACCAATTGGAGTGGCAGACTGTGGGTTATGAGAGCAAGACTGACGGTACAGCTGACCCCGAGCGACCTATCTATCGATGCCCGGCTTGCTGGCGCTACAAGGACGTCATGACGTACGAGACGGCTCAGCACGACACGAAATGTCTGATTGCTAATCTATTGCTGACGTACGCGACCGACACTATGGGCCACCTCGACTTCGTACTCAAGGGGATTGAACGCTTCCCGGCTATGATTGCAAGTGCACAGGCTGCCGCGCAGAAGGCAGCAGTGAAGCCTATGGGACAAATGCAGAGCCAGAACGCCGGTACGCCGTCACTGGTGAGTCCGCAGAATGGGATGATGGGCGTGAATCCGCTGGCGGACGACACGTCCTCGAACCAGCAGATGATGATGATGAACTCCGGTACTGCCACTGCGAACCAGTTCTCCTCTGCGATGGCCACTGCGACGTCCGGTGCGATGAGTGGCCTTACGGGCATGGAAGGTCCTCCTGGACTGTTCCGTAACAACTCTGGTGGCCTCACGGAGTTCATGCGCTCGCTAGACGACCAGGACTCGAACGACGCCATGTTCTACCAGAACCTCGCAGGCAGTGGCAACAACAGCAACAGTGGCGGCAATAATCAGATCGCTGATGCCATTGAGATGCAAGTGTTCTATGTGGTGGCACGGATGGTGACGCTGAACGCCAGCAACGCCATCGGCTTCCCGGCATTTGATGTTAATATGAACTTGCTGGGATTCTACCAAGAAGGACGTGAGAACGCGACGACTGAAGTGGTATTTGTACCTGTGGGAGACATCCCTGCCATCTCTCAAGGCGAAGTTCTCGAGACGCAGCGGTTGTTGCAAGCGGAAATGAAGGGAAACAGCTCTGCAGTGCACACGCTGGCACGCTGCAACAACGATTTGGTCAAGTTGAAGGAAGATGTGATCCTTTTCCACTGGAATGCCAAGGACCGGATCACTCCCAAGTGGTAACAAGACACTGGTGCGGTATATATGAGCACCAAGTGACGACAATGACGAGGTCACGCTGAGACGGCGAGTACTCAGCCAAAGTATATGAATTTTAACCTCCACGCGAAAAATATCGACAACGTGTGCATGTTACGTACACGAAATGTTTGTAAAGAAGCGATCTCGTGCGCCGATGGAAGTTAAGATTGGAGGAGAGGGAAGAAGAAGAAGAAAAAAAGAGATGAATAGTATAAAAATATAAACGCGATTGAATATTCTCTCTTTCTTACATGTAGTCCGAGCTGCGTTCAACCAGCAGGCGACGAAATCCCAGGGTGACTGGCTGCTTAGTCTTGAGAAGTGAGCGCATGGTCTTCTTGAACTTTTGCTTTGGAGGGAGATCTTGGCCGTTAATGCTGCGTAATATGTCACCGACAGCCACAAGTTTGGACTTCTGCGCCTGGCCCGACCCAATGTGCTTCACGTATACGACCAGAGTATTTTGACGGTCAGCATCTTCGTAGCAGCCGAAGACGAGGCCGAGCTTCCCTTCGCACCATAGAATACTGTACGCTGACTCGCACTTGGTGCCCACGTCTTCGACATATGTATCGTACGAAGAGCTCGACATGAATGCCCGGTAAGAACCTTCTTGTCTACGGAAACGCAGCACGGCCGGTTTGGCTGCAACGCGGAGAAGCGTGCGAAGTTCCGTCGTACTCAAACCAGAAGTACTCCAGTTATTAACAGAGACGAATAGATGCCCGACCGCGTCATTCGGTAGACCAAGCGTGGATTCCTTCAGGACTTGGTGGACGATCGGATAATAACGAGTGGATGATTTGTCTTTTGCGCTGGGGTGCAGTATTTCGAGTTGCAGTCCAAGCTGCGAGGTGGTCCATACTACTTCGTATTCGTACTGTTGCTGGGGACAGCGATGAGGAGGTTTATCCAGCGTCTGATCGTTCAGTCCAGACTCGACATTGAAGGAAATATCTGCAGTCGACAACGGAGACGAACAAGAGCTGTGTTCTGAGCCGTCTTCATCGTGGGAACCAGGTGGACGGAAGACAAGTAGCACCGGCTTTGGCAGCGCTAATAGATATCGGTACAGCTCATCCAACGGGCGACTACCGGTTCGAACCCCGTTGATCGAATACAACAGGAATCCGTGTTCGAGCCGTTCAATCTTGGGAGATGACCCTTTGCCAGTCAATCGATTCACAATAGGTGCACCTGAAATGGCATCTTCAAACAGTGTAAGTCCCAGAGGACCAAACTTCCACTCGATCAGGACGTCCCTGCACGCCGTCTCGTGGCTACGGTATGTCGAATGATGAGCCCCGGAAGGCATCAGAGATCGCAAAAACTCTTTGCAGCGAAAGCTGGCAGCTTCTCGAGTAACGACCGGCATGGTCATGCTTGGAATAGCTCGACGCAAGGAAAACGACCGTCCTGGACGCTCCCCGGATTCCTCGCTGGCGGTTTGACTATCAAACCAATCGGTGTCTTCGTTTGCGTCGCGCTCAAAGGTGAGTCTCACTGGACGTGGACACGTGGCGAGGTATTTTGTCGTCATGCTGAGTCCACTTGCGACTGCGTCCTTGCCATTGACAGCGACAAGTATGTCACCTAGGCGAATGCCTGAAGAAGAGGAAGAATCGCTGTTGAACGTCTGAATGTCTTGCCTGCCGACCCGAGTGACAACAGGGACATCGTGACTTCCATCTCCCGTGAAAAACACGCCTAGTTTTTGGCGTCCAAGAAGAACATCAAAGCGCACGCGTTTACTATGCGTTGAAGACCGGAAGCGAAGGATCGAAGGAGTTTTGGACATTTGGACCAACACAATGGCCGCCTCAGTATCCATGGTATGCACTCGCTTACCTGATACAGTTTCCAAGACATCACCCGGACGAATTCCGGCTTCCCATACTCTCGAAGTCTTGACGCTTTCCACTCTCAATTCGGCGTCTTCATCCAACGCCAAAGCATCCGCACAGTAATCCGATTCGGTAGATGTCGTCAAGGTGAACCCCGGGTCTCCACCTGTCCAGACGAAAAACCGGAGGCACCGGAAAGCATCGTGGGTGGAACTCCACGACCCGGGGCTGCTTACACGCGGTTGGCTCATTGTCGCACAGGCATGCGGACCGATGCTCTTGTGCTTGGAGAAAAGAGCACTTCGTAAACGGTCAAGCGGCATCGGCAAGCTGTAGGGAAAAGCTAAAGTGGCGAACACGAGGCGTAAGGAACACCATGAGTGATGTTGATCTTACTGCCATCACTAACGAGGTCATCCATCTGTGTCCCTCTTAGTCCCGTTAAAAAACATCAAGGTCATCTGGACGGACAACGCAGTAGTGTGTAGGAATTATTAACGTTAGTCTGTTCTGTCCACCGTCTAAGCAAGGCTGCGGAGCTTTTATCCATATTTCTTCCACTCCATTCCGGTCGGGGCCGTCCGCTCTGTCTCGTAGTCCTTCTCAGCTACCTCCTTCCAGTTGGTGGACAACACGGTGCCGCCCGAAGTTTGCTAAAAACACAAAGAGAAGCAACACGTATTAGACTGCATCCAATTCACAGAGTTAATTAACGTACGAAGGATTTGTTCATGGCCTTGCGGGTGTTCTCATCGGCCTTGGCATATATATCGCGGAAGAGCTTCTGCATGGCCTCCTCACCTTCGGGTTTCTCGGCCTCCAGCTCGTCGCCAATAGTCTTTTCGATCTGATCCCAGTCTCGACTGCTAGCGTACGGACGTGGCACATGATCCGGCTTCGCCTCAAAGACAGCAGCAGGACCGGTCATAACCTGTCCGCCCGACTGGTACACGGCCTCCTCGAGCTTGTCCCAGTGCATGCCATTGCTCTTCTTCTTGAGCTTCAACTCCACCTTTGAGCTTAGAACCTTGAACGAGCTTTCCTCTGCCACGACTTCATCGAAGAGAGCCTCATTGTAGGCCTCCACCATCTCGTCATCAAGCTTCACTCGCACAAGAAGCTTCTTTGGCTCAATAGTGACTTCAACATCCTCTTGCTTAAGTTTCTTCTGGAGGATCGAGACCGTCACGTGGGTGCTCGACTGGTACCAATCGTGACTTCTCATATTCCATGTTAAATATCATCCCATTCCTTTCCTGTATAACAATACACTCTCACCGGATCGTCGGCTGTACCGGTGATGGTGCAACGACAGCAGCGCTCTGATTGCGCAGTGCTGCGCTTTGCCCTGGTTCTGGGTCGTCGGGGAGAATAAGCTCGGCCTCATCGTCCGCTAAGGTTGTGGCATATTATTCGTAAGATAAAGGGTATTATAACATCCGTTCACTTGCACTTACTGTCCATCTCGGCATCGCACTTGCGGATCCAAGTCTGGAAGCGTTTAACCAGCGCTTCGTCTGCATTAGACGCTGTCTCCTTGCCTCGCTGGAAAGATCGCTTGGCCTCTGCGTACTTCTCCAGCTCGAACAACGCGACGCTGCAACCACCCAACGACCTGTCAGATTTATAGTCATTCATGTCTGGAATGTCGCGCTAGATCTCACCCGTGCCGCATGTGCGCCATGTGCAGCGTCGGATCCAGTTGAAAAGCTCGCGAAGCGTCGGCTACGGCCTCTTGCAGCTTGTGCAACTTGAGATATGCCGCCGCACGCTTGGAAAGAGCATCCGCATCCTGTGGTTGCTGTTCCAGCGCACGCGTGTAGCTGCGCACAGCCTCCTCGTACGCTTCGTCCACGAACAGAGCGTTGCCTTCGTGCTTAAATTCCATCTTGCAGCGTTTTTTCTACAGTAGAAGTGAGGCAACTTTTTAACGATTTGGGTCTTTTTGGGTTATTTAATCGCCGAAATATAGAAATAAAGACTAGCCATTTCTAAACTGAATGTAAAATTCTTGTGCATGGAGTCTAACCGTAAGACTAACGAACGCGAACGTTCAGGTACAAATGCACACGACGCTTCAGCAAAACCTCGATCTCGTCACGAGCCGCCATGCCGACGGAGCGGATCGTGTCGCCGTTGTGTCCGACCACCATCTTGCGGACGCGAGGAGCAGGAACCTGTAGCAGGAAGAAGCAAACTGTTACATACGTGATCTTTCCATCATCAAACAACGTAAACAACGTACGAAGATATCTTGGTCAATGCGGATGCTTTTGTCCGTGAATTTCGTCCAACCGACGTTCTCCTGCTCGAACGAGTACGGCAGCTCCTCATTGAATCGGCGGAAAAGTTTCTCACGGATGATCTCAGTTACCAAGTCCAGGTCCGACATATCGGAATGCATAGAGGAGTGGTAACTCCACGGTCGGTCTACTGCGAGCGAGAGTAAAGTCTTCCTCAACGTGTCCATCCCATAGCCTTTCGTGGCCGAAACCTTGATGCTGTTGTCACCGATGTAAGCCAGTGGATCGATGCTTAAAGATGATCCCTCAGCGTCGTAGTGCTTCGAGTAGATCTCCTCAATCATCTGAGAAAGCTCTTTCGTTTTCATGTCCAGATTCAGCTGCTCACGCTTCCCTACGAGATCGTACTTGTTCATCACGAGCATAGTAGGCGAGCACACCTGCGCTGATGTTGTCAGTACCTTCTCCAACGCCTGTAGAGCTGACTCGTCAAGACGCTTCACCGAGTCTACAACGAGCATGGACAGATCCACACCCTGCAGTGTCTCCGCCGCCGCAGTCACGAGCGTCTGCACGTACTCGTGGCTCTCTTTTGGTTTAATAAGCCCAGGCGTATCGTAGAACGAGAGCTGCACATCGCCCTCTGTAAAGATGCCCAGAATACGGTCACGAGTGGTGTTGTACTTAGGCGACACCGCCGACACCGTCACGCTCAGCAGCCTGTTCATGATGGACGACTTGCCGGCATTCGGACGGCCAATCACTGCAAGATCCAATGCCTTGGGATTGGCCGGCTCGTCTGGGATCAAGAACTCGCGCTCCACCACGTTGTCTGGCGCTTGTTGAATGTTAGTGAACTGCTTGTCCTTCATCGCCACCGGTCGTCTGGACGGGAGACGCCCCGTGCTTCGGTATCGCTCCTCCCCCGCCGCCTTCTCCGCTCGAGAAGCTCGTCCACCGTGAAACTGCGACGGAGTCTCCCGATCGCGCGTCGGTCGTCGACCCACAAATCCCTTGTTACGAGGATCAAAGGCGCCAACGCCGTCGTTCTCCTCTTCCTCGTCATCCGATAGAAGACCTAGACGACGCATGCGCCTCTTGTTCTCGATTTCTTTGCGGTTACGCGCCGGTATCACAGCAGGCGGGACGACCATCGTGCGACGACGCATCTTGGCCCATTCTCGATCGATCTCCTCCAGTGTGGGTTGCGATGGCTCCACGCGCGGCGATGCCTCTTGTCGTTCGGGCTTACGCTGAGGCTGACGCTGATCTTTCTGCTGTTTCTTCTTCCTCTTTTCGCTAACGGAATGTCCGCTGGCAACACGGAAAGTTTCACGCTTGGCTTGACTGCGCTTGGAGCGGTAGGTGGCCACGAGGACGCGGCCTTGGGGTAGCGCACGCGCCGCGGCGACTCGTTGCAAAAGCAGCTCCATTTTTGCAGCTTGTCAGTTTTTGACTGGCGAAGAGAAAGACCCAATCACCCAAACGTTTTTGTCTGACGTGACCCATTCCGACCACAATTAAAATACAACAAGTAATTCTTGAAAAGGGTATTTTATTGGGTGAATTAAAGCTAATGCTTCAACGACGGAGATTTTGCGAGGGGGTATTGGTACAGCTGCTCTCGGCCGCCCCTGGCCGACTTCACCCCTCTACACGGCTCTCCTACATGACTTGGTGATGAGTTTACTACGCAACGAGTGGGGCTGGGCTCGGACTCGACTGAATTTGGTCTTACAGTCTCCGAAGCTCCTTAGCCGGAAAGTCTGACGCCCGACATTTTGCCCGTGAAACGGCGTTGCAGCGCAGCGTGGCTAATTCCGCCGCGCGTCCGGCTGCCGCCATGAGTGTTGAGCGCATCGTTCTCCATGACGCCCTTGTCGTTGGCAGTGATCATCTGCATGATCTCCTTGCACGAGTGGGAAAGCTCGTCCTTGTTCTTCAGTGCTCGGAACAGCTCGAGGCACTCCGACTTGGTCGCTGTTTCTGTTGCACCCAAACAGCAACAAGCAACATTATGAGTCAGTCGTGGTCCCGCAATATTGCAACAGGGTGGGGGCGGCGCACCCGCGTCTACGGAGGAGGTCTTTGACATCGTGGTGCTGGGTGCTTGCTTGCTTGCTTGGTCCGGTCGAGATGCGATGCGCAGGAGCTGGCAATTTGCAAACTGACTGCAGCGGCATCGGCACTCGTCGCGCCTGTTGCCACAACCATCCCAGCGTCTCTGAGTGCCACGTCAAACGGTTTGGATTTTATAAATGAGCCGCTCTGATTGGCCAGCCTGATGCAATCAATGATATCATGGAAAGACTTGGCAATCATGACACCGCGGAGACTGTCAAAACACCAAATTTGGAAATCATGGCTCGTCGGCCTGGATTACAATGTTTGCTTCGAAGGACCAGTTCGTTCCCTAAGCATAGCATCGAGCTGATTGCTGCCCAGTGTTCGCTGCCTCGCATAATAAATGGCGCTATTACTACATGTATATTCTTATTCGAGGTTGTTGCCCGAGATTTACGTTGAAGAAGCCAGATGCAATTCCTTTAATGAGATTGTGCAATTTGCGCAGGAGATCTCGCCTGCTCCAGTTTATGGGGTGCTGAAGGTCCCCGTGTGTATTATAGCTTGCTACATGGATACTACATGGCTGATTGATGATTCATTCTGAATCGCACAGGCTGTATGCGAGCCTGCACAGTGTACAGTGCCACACGGCAAGTTAAAAACGTATGCATGCATTTTAAAAATTGAGTCTTGGCAAACAGACCAATTGTAGGGTATCCTCTGTGGGTATTTTTTTACGCTATCAGCTGTCGTTGCTTCACTCCTCTAAGAACCCTTGGATCACACTTCGCGGGGATCTAATACTGTTGTATGCCATTCACACTTCGTGGGATCTAAAGCGCTACTGGTGGGTCTGGGCCTGACCAAAGAGCTCCTTCACGCTCTGCATTACAGCCTCAAACGTGCCTGACGAGCGGTCCTTTAATCCAATTGCCGCCAGGATAGGCAGGCCAACGGGAATGCTGCAGAGATCACAACAAGTTAGCACAATCCCATTGCCTGTAGCATTAAAACCTCACACCCAACGACATACCCGAAGTGCTCTAGAAACTGCCGAGCGTATACTAACAGGAGCGGGTCGTCGCGTCGCCCAAGACGAATGTGGATATCCGGCTGAAACTTGCCACTAATCGAGTCTTTCTGGTACGCTTCCACCTGCCACAGCCACAGCAAACTTGCTCGTCAACAAGATCGCCCGCCAAACACCACCAATCGCTGTCTCTTACCAATGTGCCAAAGGTGCCTAACTGCGTCACGGCAATGAACACGCGGTCAGCGAAGATAGATACGGCGATATCTGTCGGGACCCCGTTAATATCCTGCGCAGAACAGTAGCGTTAGTTGCTTCGGCACACACGCGTACTGTCTACCTTCATTTGTGTTCGCACCTTCCGGTCCTTCTTCGTGTGCAGCGCTGGTGACGGGAAAGTCTCGGCCATGATTGTCAAATAAATTGCCAAAGTGTTGCATGTATGCGAGAAGAGAGTTATTTGTATGCAAAGTAAAGGGGGTATTGTCAATACTTTGCTACGATTGGTAAAAAAGACTGCGCGGGTTTCTGGTCCCAATACAGAGACTGGCCTCGTCGGGAGAAGGAAGTGAAAAAGTCCCAAGAGAACTCTTGCTGTTCGCTGTTCCGGTCCACGTCTACAGCCCGAGTCTAGCAGGTAACGCTCGTCCCCTGTGTGCGTCGAACGCAGCAGTGTCTTTACTGCGAACATTGTTGCGAAATACCGTCATTCTGAGCTCCAAGAGAGACTTTTAGCTCCTCGTCCTAACGACATGTGCCGTCTGTCAGTTCCGCAGACGTTATGGACGGCTACGATCACTTATTCAAACTCCTACTGATTGGAGATGCCGGTGTAGGCAAGAGCAGGTGAGACCAAACACGACTTTGACTTGGTAATAACTGATACTAACCTCGTTCAACCTCGTAGTATGCTGCTTCGATTCACGGACGACACGTTTGACGACAACCTCCAGAGCACAATTGGTAAGGATGAGTTTTCTATGTGGGGGAGCGAAGGGGGTAACCTGAAGTGCCTTACCCTGCGGATATCAGTTTATTAATGAGACTTGGTGACGTGTCAGGTGTGGACTTCAAAGTGAAGATGATGCAGGTGGACGGCAAGAAGATCAAAATGACGATTTGGGACACCGCCGGGCAGGAGCGCTTCCGCACGCTTACCAGCTCGTATTATAGAGGCGCGCAGGGCATCGTTCTGGGTGAGTTTCGAGCTGCTATAAAACTGCGGCTGGGAATTCTAACGTTTTTGTATTTGCCAGTGTACGATGTCGCTCGACGAGACACATTTGAGAATTTGGACTTGTGGCTACAGGAGGTGGAGGTGTACAGTCCGGCTGGTGGACGCGATGTAGTGAAGCTGCTAGTGGGCAACAAGATTGACAAGGTGCGAGTCATCATGGAGAGGATGGTGTGACCTTACTTGACACGAATTGTTGCGGATATTTGAACAGGAACGAGTGGTGAGTCGTCGGGAGGCGGAGGACTGGGCGCGGTCTAAAGGCATGCTGTTCGTCGAGAGCAGTGCAAAGACCAAGATCGGCATCCAGCAAGTGTTCAACGAAGTAGTGCAAAAGGTGCGGAATATAGACGGTTGCTGTGGTCCTGCTTACTGACACGGCCAACTTGCGCTTCAGATCCTGGAGAACCCTGCGCTACTGTCCAATACGGCACCGCGCAGTCGCGGACGAAAGCTCGATGCCAAAGCGGAGAAGAGCGGCGGTGGCAACGGATGCTGTTAGAAAGACCACGATTTTGTTGTTGATGCCCCTGCGCCGTGGCGGCAGCGTGGTCGCGCCTGTCACGGTCCAATTGCGTGCGGGTTCCTCATCTGGGGACGATTGCGTGGCGGAATGGTCCTTGACACGCAACCTGCTGCCGCCTAGCCTAGCGTCTTCGCTGCTTCCACTGTGACTGAGGCTGAGTCGATACCTGCTGAGGGCCGGAGGGAAACCTGCGAAATCGGGGGCCCGACTGCAAAGCAGAAACACGGTGGCAACGCAGGACAAAAGCTAGCAATACATGTATTTGAGACTGAGTCAGGTCCGGGATGTTGGTGGTTGAGCTTGAGTGGATCAGCAGAAACGTTGTTTACTTGATGCGAAATGATTCTCCGCTGGCCTCAGTAGCAGCGTGCGGTCACGAGCTCCAGTCAAGCCATGCCGCACGGTCCGTCGTTGTCAACGGAGACCAACTTGTTTGTGAAGGTCGGTCGTTCTGACACGAAGAAGATTCTACAGGTATCCCTTTGTCCTAACGTGTAACTTACACTGTAAGCTGCTGCCTAGGAGTAGATCAACACTCGTCCGTAACGCCACAGCATTCCAATGTACGCAGTTAACTTGTTGAAAAGGAGCCATGTTGCACGTCATGTTCCTGCTACGTTGGCAAATTAGCACAGATGCTCGCTGACCAATCACAAATTTTCCAGCGAGGCTCTTTGCGTAGATTGTTATGCAGGGGACAGCATAATTTACACAGGTTCAAACTCAGTTGGGAAGGACAGAACATGCCAAACACATGTATTTACTGTTTCAGCACACAGCAAATCATTTGACTTGACTTCTGTATACTTTTGACCTTCTTAGTGTCGCAAAAAGACATAATCGACGATTAGAGGTCACAGCAGAAAAGGGACCAGCCGCGCTTCGCTTGGCTGGGCGCCCCTTCGGCGCCCCCGCGGTTCGCTGCGCTCGCAATATGGAGATAGAATGTTCTGGAAAGTGTAGTGCTCGGCTAGCTGGTGAGCTCAGCGCTGGGCCCGCCTCCGCAAATACCGCGCGGCCCTGCTTCGCGGGCTCTCCGCGCGGGTTCGCTGCGGCTACGCGCCTCGCACCCGCTCACCTTAGTTGGCGCCGCGGCTATGGCACCCACGTCGCCCAGCCCCGTGTGTGTTATCCCAGCGATGGACGTGTGTTTCTCCTATTTTCTCGTTGGGAAGCACAGGCAGCCAGCAACGCGAAAGTCAACATCGCACGAGTCTGGTACGAGAGCATACGCTTTTCTAACCAAAAATAAACACTTTTTGGTGAACGGTAGACATAATTTGACACGACCAAACACTTATGCCTCGAACTGTACACTTTTCTGACCACTAGCAAACACTTAAAGAAAGGAAGTGGGATTTCACCTCTTTTACGTACGTCTGCACTTTCCGCGCGGAACCTGCACAAAACGGGCGAAACGCTCATAATTACCTGACTTTGTCAATTAATTCTGAGCCGCTGGTTCACATTTACCTGACTTTGTCAATTAATTCTAATCCGCTGGTATACATTTACCTGACTTTGTCAAGTAAATGTGAACCGCCCGTTCATAATTACCGCTCCACAGTTCAGTGCAACCATTGAACATAATAATGCTAACCACCAAATCGATATTAAATTTTGCATGGAAAAACGTTTGGTGCTAAGCACAATTTTTATTTGTCCTAAAGAACACATTTGTAGGGATATAAAAAAACTTAAGCCCGCTTACGCTGAATTTGTCTCTACTACTCCGTCTGGCGAATAATTCTGAACCTCAGCCTAAAGGGTCAGATACTCTTCTACCTGACCACCACCCAAACGTCTGCACGATGCCCCCCAAACTCTTCTGGACCAAGCGTGCCGAGCTGCATGTCGAGTCCGACTTCGTCAAGTATCGATGGGATCATTTTTGCTGCTCGAGCATTTTTTCAGTGAGAACAAAATGGTGCAGCATTTGCGCAGGCGACCACGAAATGGTCGAGCGCCGCCTGCAATGTAAGAGTCCGACTTGCGGAGGATCGGGGTTGCCGAAGAAGTGTGCAGTGCAATGGAAATCTCAACACTGCGAAGTCTCGTCGACGTGGGTCGTTCTCGAGAACACTGAGAGGCATTCACGAGGCGATACGCCGTGTGCTGTAGGACCACGCCCACGCGTTACTCCTGAAATGCGAGAGTACATCAAACGCATGGATGAGAGCGCAGTACCACCACGCTTAATATGGAGTAATCTTCTGCGAGCACCGGAGATTCCTTCCCCAGCGCTAGGATTTCCATCGTGCGCCCAGGTCCAGCGAAACGTTCGTTACAATCGATGGCTGCACGGATCGAAGAACTCAATACTTAAGACACGCGAGCTGGTCATTTCGAAAGCATTCAGAGCCGATATTGACCCAGAGTCGGCGTTCGTTTTTGGAAACCGACAGGACGAAAGGGGATTTCCGTTTGTGGGTAATGGCGAGGACGATGAACCTTTGATTTTGGGTATAACCAGTCTGAAACTCATGCAAACTATTTTGGCGCTACAGCAGAAGGAGAACTTCTTGATTTTTCACCTCGATGCAACTTTCAAACTCAGTGACCTGGGGTATCCAGTTATAACCTGTGGCTTTGCTGACTGGCGAAGAATCTACCACCTAGCCAGTATGTTTATTGTGAGCCAGCGAACTGAGCGTGAGTACTATGAGGCTGTTGGTAGTTTCGTCAGGGTTTTTCGGGAGCGATTGGGTGTGGCACTGCATATCGATGCTGTGATGGGAGACGCGGAGAAGGCTCAAGTAAATGGATTAGTTGCTATCAGTGGGTTTGAGAACAGCATTTACCTTATGTGCTTTTTCACGTACTATACAACGTACGTAAGCGTATGCAGCACCTCGCCGCAGCCCTTCGAGCTGTTGTGTACCGCGGAGTTCTAGATATGCACTACACGCTTAGCAGGGACCATCTATATCTGGAGTGGAATCGCATTTCTCAGGAATGGCTCCTGGACGGAAGACAAGAAACTTTCACGAACTATTTCTACAGTCAATGGATCGCTAGTCGCTTCTGGCGGTGACAGATTTTTCATTCGCCGGGGGCTTTTGCAACTTCGAACAATCCCTGTGAAGTTTTCAACGCAAGCATAAAGAGATACACACAACGCAAGGCGTGTGACACAAGGAGGTTGCTGCTAAAACTTGTGACGATAACGGAAGACTACTCTATATGCCTTCCCACGTCTGTAGCGGGCGGTCGAATTACACCGCCCAAGGAGGCTACACGATTGGCAAAAGTATTGGTTTCAACGAGTCGTGTGGCTATCTACGCTACCCCCACGCCTTGGTACGTGTTTTATATGTTGGCGATGATCGAGAGATCCCTACAGAGGTGAATGACATCTCGTCGCTTTCAGACGACGTTCCTCTCAGCAGTGAGCGTCTCGCTTCGTTAATTTCCCCCGAGTGCCTTCAAGATGAGGAAAAACAAAAGGCGGCGAGCTTTTACAGGTCTGCTGTTAAGTGGTCAGTGCGTCGAGCCCACCACGTTGGTATGCCCAGAGAGGGGTGGGTGGTGCGAACAGACTCCAACCGGTGCTCCTGCTACTACTATGAAAAGTTATTGTCTTGCGCGCACATTATTTGCGGTCGCGCTGCGTACGGTCTCAGCGTTCCTGGCGTCAACGGATACCAACTAAAATTTAAAGATCGACGGATTCGACAAAATGTACAAGGTCAAGGTAGGTCGGATCAAAAATTTGGTGCCAATGTACAGAGGACTCAGATGACATTGCCGGGAGGTTTACCCGCACTACCCTTAGCTATCCCGGATCATTTGCATTGCGGTCCGATACGCTATCCCTCGGGTCTTATGCTAGATTCTTACGTTCCCAACCAGATTTGGAGTGCGGGTGCGGTGGGAGTAAACCCCGAGGCATGGGATACGCGCCTTCCGGGTAATTACCAGTACGATACGTGGAACATCACCCCTCAATACCTGACACCAACCGTGGCCCTGCCCTTGAGGCATACGCGTGGTAGACCTCCGCTAGCATCCCCAGCGCTAGATGTTCAATACGTACTACGGTGAGCTCAGCATACGAATAACATTTTCTTAGTTGAATGACACATTGCTTTGAATTCTTTCGTGAACAAGTCTTGTACTAGCTGTAGTCTTACCTAAGCGTGGCATCACGCTCGGTAAAACAAACCTCTGTTACGAGTTGCTAGTCTACTAGTACATGTTGTCGTACGGACAAGTAAGTGTTCACAATAAAGGTAAACTGTTAAATAATTGTCAACATTAGAGTTCATAGCTACGTGCCAGTGTAACTTAATTGTGAACTCTCGGTCCACAATAAATTGACTAGATCGCATTATTGTGAGCCGCAGCCCATCTAGAACTTGGCACATAATTTTAGCACTGTCATTTAGCTATGAGGAGCTACATTGTGTGATAGTATTAGAAATTTAAAGTACTTAACCGAATAGGACCGGTCACTATAAAAAAATCCTTCGGACCGGTTCACTTTAAAGAAACATTCAATTTCCTCACTTCTTCCCACTCGGCACCCCCTGAGCTAACGAAATGACCCAGAAGACGAGAGTGAGGGACCTGTGGGCGACCATTCAGTCCTGGAAGCGTCACCCCGGGTGGTCAACTGCGGATGCTGTGTGCCATATCGGAATCGCCCGACCGAAGCTCCTTACTTGGAAGAGAAAATACTGGGACATGCTGGAGCCACCAGAGGAAGATGGTCAGCGCTATCGAGTGAAGGGAGCGGGGCGCCCGTACAAGTTGGCAAGCTACGAGCTTCACGCCTTGGAGTACTACGACAGAAGTTTGCGGGAGGACGGAGTGGTGCACTACGCAGACTTCCTGCGATACCTAAGAACTGTTCCTGAATTTGCCATAATACACAAGGAAACGCAACGATCGCGAGCAAGACGCTTCATGAAACGATACGACTCCGGTAGCGAAGAGGCTGGGTCCGCAAGAGCTGCTGTTAATGCCGGTGATCCTGCGCTACACGTGGAAGCTGGTACAAGTGGAGATGCAAATGCAGACAAATCATACCCCGTATCAGATGTCACTCTCTGCGAATCAGGCGAAGGCCCTAACCCGGAATCAGTCGGAGATTCCGCTCCGATTCCATTGGATGCATCAGTTTTAGAATTAGACTTGGAGCTCCCAGGACCAGTGGCTAGCGTTGAATCAGGGGTGGAATCAGAAAAGAGAAAAAAGCCTCGATTTTGCCTTGAAAATCCAACTGGAGATCCCGGCACCAAACTCCTGCAACAGAGTGCCGCCCCATACAGCCTGCGGCCACGAAATAACCTACTTACCCCTGTACGCATCTACCCCCACGCCGCAGGTAGGTCCGCAGAGCTTGTCTCGATGCCACTCTTCGCTGATGACATCGCCAGCGTAAAGGAAGGAGCTCCGATTACTAGCTCCGTGGTTGACTGTTGTATCTCTCGTTACACAAAACCCGAACCAGAGCTCATGTTACCTGCAAGATCGGCTGTATTTTTCGCCAATAAGTACGCCTACATCAAGCACTCGGGTCGGGAGTCCAGCGCCCCCGACACAATTGGTGATTTCGATTGGAGTGGATACAAATATGTATTACTGCCTGTGGCGTTTAACGACCACTGGAGCGTTGTAATTATCCAGAATGGCAGTGACGCAAAAAATATATATTATCACATCGACTCGCTTCACAATGGTCACGACAAGGAGTATATTTTCGCGTGTCTGGACTGGTGGTTTGCGGTTCTACACACGAGCCGTGGGAGATTCGAGGCAGCCAGGGGGTTTTCCTACACCTGCAAGCCCCGCCAGACTAATGCGGTAGATTGCGGCATATATATGCTGCACTACCTTTACAAGGTCGCCCAGCATATCAAGCAGCACAAGCCAAGTTCCATCCTGCTGCAGATTGAGACGCTCGCCAAGGGTGGCTTCAATGCCAACAAGGCCAACCAAGCCAGGAACGTCTCTGCTTTCTCAGCTCACAAAGACTATGTAAAAGCTAGCTACTAGGACACAGATTTACTAAATTAAGTCGTTTAAAATGACAATTTTTCTCTTCTCCGTTGATGTACGGCTTGCGCAAGCTAGGTAGGCCTCCATGCCTCGCAGCCCATGGAGCATGGACCCGCTCTAAACTCGAGCAAATGAAGACACGCTGCCCACAGGAAACAAAAGCCATGATTTGCTGTGCAGCAGCGTGCTCGGCGTCGTGCAAACGCGCACTGGCCCTTCTACGTGTGAAAGTGTAAACTGGCGGCTATTTTGTGGTGAAATATTGCCGGTCGGCACGGTACAAAACAAACTGCACTGTACACCACAGCGCTCACGCTGCGCCGGACGCCTTCAACAGCGAGCGTGCAACGAATTTACTGCTGCTCCAACACGCCAAGCTTGTCATCAAGGCGGCGCAGCTACGGCAGACAGTCTGCGGTTCAACCGAGTGTATCCATCGCCTTTTAATAGAGTGGGAGTCGCTGCGATTGAACGTTCACTTTATCGATTTTCGAAGGGAAGCTGAAGACTCGTTCGTCATTGGTCGAAACGTTACACAGACGGGGCGCACCTCCTTTTGATTGGTCAGTAGCGAGTGTTTGTTTGTATTACACTTCGATTGCCATTCGCAAAGCTCCTATTTCTGATATCAACTATTATAAATACCCTTTCAGAACAGAATCTTCTGCAAAGAGATTTTTCGCTTGTCCTGGGTCCTTAAATCTGTTATTCCTAGTTAAAGCGTATCTCTAATTGTTATAACAACTAGAAGCAGATCCCTGTACTTTGCCAAAGCGCATTACCCATCTGGGCGCCAGAGAAGCCGCAGTCAACGTTACAAATCCGCCTACGGAGCTCAAGCCTGAGCGCCCTCCACCACACTTGAAAAGGCCTCGTTGCCCGCGCCCCGCCTCCTACTTCGACGGATTCGTTCTGCCGACCGGAAGACTTCGTCACACGACCCGCTTTTGAGTCGATTTGGCCGTGGGACGCGCCCTTTCTTTCGATCTTTCGGCCGTTCTGACGAGGCAACTCAGTCTCTGCCCTTGTCAGTTGCCGCATTGCCACGTCAAGAGCAGATCCCCAGGCTTCTGCGCTTTCGATGGACGCAGCAGCGATGCCATGTCGGGCACACAGCAAACCTTCCCAGAAACAGAAGCCGGGGCGCAAGAAGAAAGCGTCCAAGCAGAGCAACAATAACCATGAGAAAGTCACTGCGCCTCCTTCAGCCACGGCCGGTACGCGCCGCTCGCGTCGGGATAGCAACTGCAGTAGTGGTAGCGGTATCGACGCGGACGACCGGCGGCCTTCCATCGCGTCGGCCACAGAGCGTATCTCGCCCGGCCTCCACCCTCGCTTATTCCGCATTCTGAGCGAGGCTAATGCACCGGCGCTGGCCATGGATATGACGGGTCGCGTGACGTTTTGGAATCACAAGCTGGCGGAGCTATGCGGGCTTCCAAGCGTCGATGTGGTTGGCCGGCCTATCACAGAGCTCGTGACGGCCCACACGACGGCCGACGTCATGCGTGGCCTGGAACAGGCGCGATCCGATATCAACGCCACGGTATACGGCGTGGAAATTGAACTGAACACGCCCGAACTCGGCCGCAATGTGAAGCTTCTTGTAAACTTGACCGTCGACGTGGATGATAAGAACAAAGCGTCGAGTGTCGTGGCCATCGGACAGGACGTCACTGTGTGGATGCAAGGATCACAGTACGCGCTCGTAGCCCAGCAGGCCAACGCCCCCATAGTAGAACTTGACCGAGACGGACGCATTACACTATGGAATCCCAAGGCCGAGGCTCTCACAGGCTACGCTATTGATCAAGTCATTGGCACCCCACTCGTCGACTTGGTGCACGACGAATTCCAGGTGCTGGTGGCCGAATTACTGGCGCGTGTAGCATCCACCAATACGTCTGTATCGGAGCTCGAGTTGCCGCTTAAAACTGCGAGCGGCGCGCGAGTGGAGTTGCTGTTTAGCCTCACGCCTCAGGCCACCGTGGATGGAGTGGACACGACGGTGAACCGTATCGTAGCCATTGGGCAGGACGTGACGGCCCGTAATGCGAGCGAGATGGAGCACAGCAAACTGGTGGACTCGGCCAACGCGCCCATTTTTGGCGTGGATACCGAGGGTTGTGTGGTGATTTTCAACAAGAAGGCTGCACAGATCAGCGGGTACTGGCCGGGCGAGGTCATGGGCGTCGAGCTGGTGTCGTTCTTGATCCACGAAGACTATCGCGAGAAGGTAGCCGCAGTTTTCCAGAAGGCGCTACGTGGCATTGAGACGGCAAACTTCGAGTTTCCCCTCATCACAAAGGACGGCCGGAGGGTGGAGATCCTACTGAATGCTACACCGCGTTACAATCATGCCGGGGCCATCGTCGGAGTGGTCGGTATTGGACAGGATATTACCGAGCGCATTGTGCAGGAACAAGAGTACAACCGTCTTATTGACACGGCCAATGCGCCTATCGTGGGCGTGGACAAGAAGTTCCGCGTGACGATTTGGAATAAGAAGGCGGCCACCCTCACAGACTATTCATATACACAGGCGATCGGCAAGGATCTGCTCGGCTTTATCGCTGAACACGCACGCGACACGGTAGCAGATGTGCTGTCGAAGGCTATGGGAGGTGTGGAGACTCCGAATTTTGAATTTCCGCTTGTGACGAAGACTGGGAGACAATTAGACATTCTACTTAATGCAACGCCGCGGTTCGATCACAGCGGCGCTATTACCGGCGTGGTAGGCACCGGACAAGACTTCACTGACCAGCGCGCGCAGGAGGAGGAGTACATCCGACTGATTGACACGGCCAATGCGCCGATTTTTGGTATTGATATGGATGGGCGTGTAGACATTTGGAACCGCAAGGCGGTAGCGATCACAGAGTACACGGTACTGGAGGCGCGAGGAACACGACTCGTGGAGAGTTTTATTCCCCACGACTATCGCGCTGGAGTGTCAGACGTAATATCGAAAGCCATGGAGGGAGAAGGCACGGCTAACTTCGAGTTCCCGCTTATTACGAAGACTGGACGACGAGTAGATATTCTGCTGAACGCCACGCCACGGTACAACCAGCACGGAGAAATTGTGGGCGTTGTGGGTATCGGCCAAGACATCACGGAGCGTATCGTACAGGAACAGGAGTACAGTCGCTTGATCGACACGGCCAATGCTCCGATTTTTGGTGTCGACATGGCAGGTCTTGTGAATATCTGGAACGATAAGTCCGCCGAGATCACGCAGTTCACCGCCGATGAGGTCATGGGCAAGGACTTGGTGCAGGAATTTATCTCGGAGGGATACCGTTCTGCTGTGGGCCTGGTACTATCGCAGGCATTGAACGGAGTGCAAACTGCTAACTTTAATTTCCCGCTCATCACTAAGTCGGGACGTCGAGTCGAAATTTTGCTGAATGCCACGCCACGGTATAATGAACTGGGAGAAATCGTTGGTGTGGTGAGTATTGGCCAGGATATTACGGAACGGATCGCTCAGGAGCAAGAGTACAGTCGTCTCATTGATACTGCTAACGCTCCTATCTTCGGAGTGGACAAGGAAGGCTGTGTGAATATCTGGAACAAGAAGGCTGCGGAGATTATGCAGTACTCGAACGACGAAGTGGTGGGGGAGAACCTGGTTGAAAAGTTCATCACGGAAGACTACCGGGAAGCTGTGGGCGCTGTTTTGTCCAAGGCTCTTGATGGATTTGAGACGGCGAATTTTGAGTTCCCGCTGGTGACAAAAGCAGGTCGTCGCGTGGAGATTCTGCTGAACGCCACACCTCGCTTTAACGAGCACGGAACGGTGATTGGTATGGTGGGTATCGGCCAGGACATCACGGATCGTATCGCACAGGAACAAGAGTACGCTCGATTGATCGAGAAGGCTAACGCTCCCATCTTTGGCGTCGACTCGGAAGGAAAAATCAATATCTGGAACCATAAAACTGCTGAGATGACGCGATTCTCGAAGGAAGAAGCGGTTGGCAAGGATTTGATGAGCTGGGCGATCCCTGAACAGTACCGTGATGCTGTAGAAACCATCTTGTGGAAGGCATTGGAGGGCGATGAGACGTCAAACTTTGATGTGGAGTTGAAGAAGAAAACTGGTCGTACTGTCAACATCCGCATGAACGCGACGGCGAGGTTTGACCAGCACGGTCAGATCGTAGGCGTCGTGGGCATCGGTCAGGACATCACGGATCGTATTGTGCAGGAGCAAGAGTACACGCGCTTGATCGACACGGCGAATGCTCCGATCTTTGGCGTGGATGCTAATTTGTGCGTGAATATTTGGAACAAGAAGGCGGCACAGATCACCAAGTATTCTACTGCCGAAGTGATTGGCGAGAATCTGGTGGAGACGTTCATTTCTCCGGAGTATCGACCTGCCGTGGCGGATGTGTTTAGTAAGGCTCTGAACGGCATCCAGACTGCCAACTTTGAGTTCCCATTGATCACTCGCCCCGGCACACGCATTGAGATTCTCCTGAACGCCACACCTCGTAATGATATGCATGGGAATATCGTCGGTGTGGTGGGTATCGGCCAGGATATTACTGACCGTATCGCACAGGAACACGAATACTTCCGACTGATCGATACAGCGAACGCCCCGATCTTTGGTGTGGACACGTTTGGATGCGTAAATGAGTGGAACCAGAAGATCGAAGAGATAACGGGCTACCACAAGTCGACGGTCCTTGGGTTGTCATTGGTTGATGCGTTCATTAATGCTGAGAATCGATCGGAAGTGCGGAAGCTACTGAACCAGGCGCTGATTGGTATTGACGTCGGGGAAATGGAGCTGCCGATGACGACTGCTGCTGGACGTTCCTTGCTACTGCTTGTGAATGCTTCTAGCAAGAAGGATATGCATGGGAATATCCGGGGAGTTATCGGAGTGGGTCAAGACTATACCGCGAAGAAACACATGGAGGCGGCGAAGGTGAATTTCCTCGCGTCGTTCAGTCACGAGCTGCGAACTCCGCTCAACGGTGTGCTCGGTATGCTGGAACTGCTACGCGACCAGAAGCTGGACAAAACGCCGGAGCGATACGTGCACATCGCGTACATTTCTGGATCGCTACTGCTGAATCTCATCAACGATATCCTTGACTTGTCGAAGATTGAAGCAGGACACATGGAGATCTCGGCGGATCCGTTCCAGATGGAAGATCTGTTGGAGTATTCCGTGGAGATTTTCAAGTTCAAGGCGCGCGAGAAGCACATCAAGCTGAAACTGGAATGCTCGCCAAAAGTTCCGAAGCGCGTCATTGGAGACGTAAGTCGACTGCGTCAAGTGCTACTGAACTTGCTCTCGAACGCTATCAAGTTTACGAACGAGGGATCCATTACAGTCCGTTGCAACATGGTGCCGTCTCCAGATCTGCCTAAGCATTGCGTGAAGCTTCTGTTCCAAGTGATCGATACCGGTGTCGGCATGGATGACGAGGAGAAGTCGAGACTGTTCTCGCTGTTCACGAAGCTGGAGCGTACGCGCAAGAACAACCCCACTGGCTCGGGCTTGGGTCTTGCAATCTGCAAGCAACTTGTGGAGCTCATGGACGGCGATATCGATGTTGACAGTGAGCTGGGCGAAGGATCCGAGTTCTTCTTTACGGTTGTGGTGCGTCGTCCGGAAGATGAAGAAGATGAGATGATTCAGAAGTTCCCTGCTGTGCTGGCTGCTGAGCCCGGTGTTGCTCCCTCTCTAGCAGGTAATAATGCACGGCATAACGCGTCCGTGTCGGAGCTGGTGCCCAAACATGCTCGTATCTTGGTGGTGGAAGACAATGAGTTCAACTGGGAAGTCGTCAAGAGCTTCTTCATGGAAGATAACCATCTGCTGCAGTGGGAAACCAATGGTCTGGACGCGTATCAAATGTATCAGGAGCACCATGACTCGTACGACATTGTGTTGATGGACTGTGAGATGCCAATCATGAACGGATACGATTCCGCGCGCAACATTCGCGTCTTCGAGAAGCAGCACAAACTCGCGCGTATCCCCATCATTGGCGTGACGGCGTATGCTATGAGTGGCGATAGAAAGAAGTGTCTGGATGCTGGAATGGACGAGTTTATCGTCAAGCCAATCTCCAAGACAGAGCTGCGCAAGGCGATCCGGAAGTGGATGCGCGTCCGCTTCTTGGGTCAACACTGTCCTCGATCCTCGCGAGTGGAATCGGTGAATGCAGCCAGCGATGATGCTGATGGTTCATGCAACCAGAACGCTGCCAACTTGGTGGCGGCGTCTCGACACAAGGAGAAACTTGACCTCGACCGAGCCATTTCCGACTTAGAACTCGAAGACCCCATGATGATTGGCCAGCCGGGTGGAATTCAAACCGCCGCGGGATCAGAAGCGCTGCTGATGTCCCTCACGACTATCAGCGAGACCAAGAGCAACTCGACGAGCTCGGGAACTGTCGGACGCACCATCGGACCTGTGGAAATTCAACGTGAGACGCCGGAATTGTCGATGCCACAGCCCAATGGCGCGCCGCCTACACATCCTGGAAACCTCGTAAATGCATCGAATATCGTCGGCACGAACTTGTTCGCTGCAGCTAAAGCAGCGGGTATCTATCCGATGAATGCGGAACCTACTCCTTACTCGAGTCCGAACTCGTTCGCGTCGAGTGACGGGAACAATCAGCAAGACTCGGACAGCTCGACGAGTCTCGCGAACAAGCCGGTGCGAGCGTACTCGTCTACGATGGCTCCAGAAGACATTGTGATCCCAACCGGTGACCCGATTGATTATTCCTTGGGTGTGGAGCAATGTGGTGCGAATGAAAGTCTGTTTGTGAGTCTACTGGAAAAGTATGCGGGTTTGAGCGAGGAGTTCATGCGGCGCATCGAGGAAGCGTACTCGACGGAGGACTTTGTTGTGTTGCGACGCGAGAGTCACTCGCTCAAGGGATCGTCAGCTTACGTCGCTGCTCTGCGCGTGTCCAAGGCTGCATTCCGCGTGCAACTAGCTACTGAACATGTGATGGACGAGTCTGCTACGGAAGACAACTTCGACTCATTGAAGGATGCGTTCCAACTGCTCAAGAGCGAGCACCGTGCTCTACGTGGCTATCTTCGTCGCAACTTTTCTTTCCGCACGAGTATTGGCAATGGAAGTCAGGAAGCCAAGAAGAAGAACAATGGAGGAGGAGACAACGCCTGCGTTGTCATGTAAAAGCCACGTGGTGGGTATCGGCGATATATTTTGCTTTTTATAAAAGTGACAACGGAGTCGTGGAGGCCAGGAGAGCGAGCGTCTGAACGCTTGAGTCCTCTCGCCCTTCATCGCGCCGTAGAAATGTAACTTATAATTGATAGCCTTGCTTGGTATCATGGCGAGTTGGCTGGCATCCTTCAAGGTACGAGCGTGGCTACTTAATCTGCTTGGCGTTGTCGAAGTATTTCTCTTGAATGTCATTTAGCAGGTCGTTCATGGCTTCTTGGAACTTGGCGCAAACCAGCGAGCGGCTGGCACCGATCTGCTCTGCGAAGCGCGATAATTTGCTGGTAGAGAAGCATTGTTAGAGGTGTGATGGGAAGTTGAAAATATTGTAAGGACTTACGCTTTCTGCATGGCAGGTAGGAGCTGGATCCACCCCACGATGTCGTCTAGTGTGTAGTCGTGCTCCTTGACGAGTTCCTTGGCGTCTATGAAGTAGTGTGCTGCTACTTTTTGCACGATCTCGTCTACCTCCGCTTGCTCTTTGCTATCCTCTTCGATATCTTTCGCGTCATCTTCGTCCGTGCTTCTTCTGCTTGAGGTTTGTGAAGCTGTTTGGTCGCTACAGTGTCGCTGCATGAACGCGTGTTTGAGTAGTTGTTTGAC